TAGTCCCTAATGTCAACCAATCCCATTCCTCCTAATTTTTTGTGTTTGATTAATATATTATGTGAGCATCTATGTCTCATATTTCCCCAGACGTATTTTTTAAGCATAGATTGTAGTTTTGCTAGATATGAAGATTTAATTGGGATTGGATTTGATCTGAATAGATATACAATCTGTGGCAATATGAACAGTTTAAATGCGGCCAGTCTGCCAGACCAGGATAGTTCATGTTTAGCTATTTGATTGAGGCGGGTTTGAATTTTTGAAATGAATTTAGAATAATTGAGAGTTCCTAGGTCAGAGGTTTTGTTTGTCAACAATATTCCAAGATAAGGAATGGCTTCATTTTCCCAGATGTAGGGAAATTTGTTTTGGAGGTGCATTTTTAGAATGTGATCTACACCCAGATTTAGGATATTAGATTTGGATGCATTTATTTTATAATATGAAATATTACTGAATTGTATGAGAGTTTGTTGAATTGCTGCTAAAAAGTAAAGGGATTAGTTAGCATTAAAATGATGTCATCCGCAAAGAGCGTTATTTTGTGGTGGTTTTTACCCATATAGAAGACATGTATATCTGGATTGTTTCTTATAGTTGCATCAAAAGGTTCAATTGATAGGTTAAAAATGAGTGGCGACAATATACATCCTTGTCTGGTACCAATCGTAATTAGGAATGGTTTGGATAGCATGTCAGATACATAGACTTGGCCTGAAGGGTTTAGTAAAGTGCTGAAATGGCATTAATAATTGTTCCTGAAAATCCAAATGTATGCAGAACTTGGAACATGTATGTCCAGTGTATCCTATCAAAAAATAAAATAACAGCGCAAAACATAGACCTCTACATAAAATCAAAAAAGGCAAAAAAAAAAAAAAAAAAAAAAAAAAAAAAAAAAATTATGTAAAACAAAATACAATTTAAATGGTGCAGTCCATCAAATTCTTATATAAATAGTGAAATCCATCAAAATAAACAAAAGTTCAAAAATATTCAAAAATATATGTGCAAAAAAAGAAAAAAAGAAAGAAATCTTTTCACATTCTTCTTGTAAAGAAACTTCCACCTTCCACCCGTGAAAACCAATATCAAATGCACTCACCAGATATAGGTGAATAAAACGCCTTTTAGGAATTTTATGGGATCCTACACCCTCTTTCGTATCCACTCTATAGGAATCCTCTCCTCCAACATGGGCTCCACCATCCGACCAGGGAGAAAAAAATCTCAAATAGTGTGATATTGTAAGACACCATTTCATATGTGAAATCAAGGATTAAGGCCACTCACATTAATTTCACTTTAAAAAGGCATATTTATTAAGGCAAGCTTCTCTCCAGATGAACAGTAGATGCAAGGTAACCTCTCACAGAATCTCACATCACAGTCCCAGGTTCCTGTGAGTGGAACCTGGGACTGTGATGTGAGATTCTGTGAGAGGTTACCTTGCATCTACTGTTCATCTGGAGAGAAGCTTGCCTTAATAAATATGCCTTTTTAAAGTGAAATTAATGTGAGTGGCCTTAATCCTTGATTTCACATATGAAATGGTGTCTTACAATATCACACTATTTGAGATTTTTTTCTCCCTGGTCGGATGGTGGAGCCCATGTTGGAGGAGAGGATTCCTATAGAGTGGATACGAAAGAGGGTGTAGGATCCCATAAAATTCCTAAAAGGCGTTTTATTCACCTATATCTGGTGAGTGCATTTGATATTGGTTTTCACGGGTGGAAGGTGGAAGTTTCTTTACAAGAAGAATGTGAAAAGATTTCTTTCTTTTTTTCTTTTTTTGCACATATATTTTTGAATATTTTTGAACTTTTGTTTATTTTGATGGATTTCACTATTTATATAAGAATTTGATGGACTGCACCATTTAAATTGTATTTTGTTTTACATAATTTTTTTTTTTTTTTTTTTTTTTTTTTTTTTTTTTGCACTTTTTTGATTTTATGTAGAGGTCTATGTTTTGCGCTGTTATTTTATTTTTTCATATATTTGTGTTGTTCACATTGCACAGCAGCAGGATAGTACCTGTAGTAGAGTGTCTCACTAGGCGCAGGAAGATATCTTATAATATCCTATCAAAAGCCTTTTCGGCCTCCAGAGCAAGTAATAAGGAGGGAATTTTATGTGAGTCTGCGTAATGAATTATGTTGATTAGTCTCCGGGTTGCGTCAAATGTTTGTCTACCTTTAGTAAAGCCTAACTGATCAGGCTTGATCCAATCTGGGAGTATATTGGCCAGTCTACACTCTATAATTTTAGCGTAAATCTTAATATCAGTATTTAACCTCTTCCATACCGGGCACTTTTACCCCCTTCCTGCCCAGACCATTTTTCAGGTTCCAGCGCTCTCACACTTTGAATGACAATTGCGCGGTCATACAACATTGTACCCAAACTAAAATTTTATCATTTTCTTCACACAACTAGAACTTTCTTTTGGTTGTATTTAATCACTGCTGGGGGTTTTATTTTTTGCTAAATTAACAAAAAAAGACCGAAAAGTTTGGAAAAAAAACATTTTCTTTGTTTCTGTTATAAAAGTTTGAAAATAAATAATTGTTCTTCATAAATTTAGGCCGAGATGTATTCTGCTACATGTCTTTGGTAAAAATAACCCAAATTAGGATGTATTTTTTAGTTTGTAGGAAAGTTATAGAGTTCACAAACTATGGGATAGATCTGAATATTGATCAATCCTGAAGTACTGACAGCAAATCTAATTTCTTGAGGGCCAAGAATGTCAGAATAGTACAGATATCCCCCAAATGTCAGGACAGTACAGATATCCCCCAAATGTCAGGACAGTACAGATATCCCCCAAATGTCAGGACGGTACAGATATCCCCCAAATGTCAGAACAGTACAGATATCCCCCAAATGTCAGGACGGTACAGATATCCCCCAAATGTCAGAACAGTACAGATATCCCCCAAATGTCAGGACGGTACAGATATCCCCCAAATGTCAGGACAGTACAGATATCCCCCAAATGCCAGGACGGTACAGATATCCCCCAAATGTCAGGACAGTACAGATATCCCCCAAATGTCAGGACAGTACAGATATCCCCCAAATGTCAGGACAGTACAGATATCCCCCAAATGTCAGAACAGTACAGATATCCCCCAAATGTCAGAACAGTACAGATATCCCCCAAATGTCAGGACAGTACAGATATCCCCCCAAATGTCAGAACGGTACAGATATCCCCCAAATGTCAGAACAGTAAAGATATCCCCCAAATGACCCCTGTTTGCAAAGTAGACAGTCCGACGTACTTCATAAGATGCATTGCGAGTTTTTTGAAGTTGTAATTTTTTTGTCATAATTTTTCGGAAAATGGAAAAATTGAAAACAAATATTTTCACTATTTTTTTTTTACATACTGTCACCAGTGTAGTACAGCGTCATCATATAACTGGCATGGCGATGATCAGGGGCACTGACTGGTGACAGTATGAAAAAAAAAATTATAATTTTTTTTTTTTTTTTTTATTATTATTAATTTTTTATTAAATTTTTTTTTTTTTTTAAGATTTTTTTTTTCGTATTTAACTATGACCAAAGTAGTACAATGTTACCATAGTAACATTGCACTACTTTGGGGAAGTGATCAGTTTTTTTTTTTTGTACAATTTGCTTATAGCAAAGAAATACTTTGCTATAAGCAAGCATTTACCTGAATGACATCGATTCATTCAGGGTTTTTTTTTTTGTGCGTAGCTGTGATTTGGCTAATCACATGATAGAGCTGGGCTGTGATTGGCCCAGCTTGTGCATGTGATCGCTGTGACCATTCACAGCTAGACACACTAGTATACAATGGATGGCATGAAAGGAAGCCATCCATGGTATACAACTGTCATGTGACCTGCTGTGATTGGTCACAGCAGGTCACATGGTACTGGCAATGGGGCCAGTACTCAGATCTGTCATCGGCCGTGTCATCTGTCCGGTGACAGATCGCGCCTCTGCGCGGCTCTGCGGGCATGCAAACTGTGCATGCCCGAAAGGACACCATATGGCGTCCACCTGGAGGGACGAGGGGTTTTGCAGGCCGCCATCTGGCTATAGACTGGACGGGAACCTGTTAATAAAGAAAGAGGCCTGGAATTTTGTGGGTTGTCTGGATCTTTACCTGATTTGGGGATTGTTACAACTAATGCTTGTAGCATTTAGGAAGGTAATGAGGCGGAAGAAAACATGTCAGTGTATAGTTGGTTTAGATGAGGATTTTTTAACATTTTATAGTATTCGCTGGAAAATCCATCTGGTCCCGGACTTTTGCCATTGGGTAGTTTTTCTATTGTTCTGTTTATTTCATTTATTGAGATAGGGGAGTTTAAGATACTTAGTTGTGATTTCGAAGAGTGGGTAAGCGAATGTGTGATAAAAATGCTTGTATGTCTCCTATAGAAGGTTGGAGAGTGGATTTGTCTTGATTTAGGTTATAAAGTGAATTTTAGTAACTAGCAAATGAATTTGCTATTTCTTGAGGATTAGTGATTTTAGTTTTATCTCTTGGGTTGATAAGGTACGGTATGCAGGGATTTCATTTTATTCGCTAGGTATTTCCCTGCTTTGTTTCCATTAGAGTAGTAGTTGAGTTTTAATCTTTGCGTACTTCTATCAAATTGGTACATTAGTAAGGACCGTAATTCGTTCCTTAGTCTGAAGAGTGTATTCGAGGTGGTTTGATCGACTTGAGCTTTATTTTGCATTTCTAGTTTGCGAATATCTTGTAGTAAGTCATGAAGCTGTTTATTTCTTTGCTTTTTAGCTTTAGCGCACATTTGTAAAATGATACCACGTATATATGCTTTGTGAGCTCACCAAAGGGGGCCAGAGTTTGATACAGATTGCAAATTTTATATATGGAAAAACTCCTCAAGATGTTTTTTCAAGTATATCAAGTTATTGTTGTTATATATACAGTATATATGTATATATATATATATATATATATATATATATATATATAGTGGCAGTGCGGTATCCTGCCACGGTGGAAAGCACGATGGAGACCCAGGATTCTCAACCATACAGGTTGAGGGGCTCCAGGCAGATCTCATAATGCAGAGGAAACTGGTTTATCAGTTTCCTCTTTGGTTTGTAAAGCCTGTTTTGGGACCTGTAGCCTGGAGATTTCTAAGAGATTTGGGAGGGATGAAATCTCCAATCCTGGGCCCATATTTTGGGAGCAGCCAGCACGCTGATGGCACAGGTGTGTGCAGGCCTTTTTGTGGAGGCCAGGCCATGATTCTGGGCTCCACCCCGGCAGATAGAGTCAGGAGGGCTCCACCCCGGCAGACAGGAGGTCTCTGCTGTAGAGTCAGGTGGGCTTCACCTAGTAGAGGTGGAAGCCAGACAAGCTGTGTGCGATTGGCTAGCTGTGTGCGGGAAAGCCATTTTTGGAAAGAGTCTGCAGGAGACAGACGGAAATCAGTGTACCAGCCAGAAGGCTGAATGTCATTTGCATTTGTTTGATGTGGATACCCCTGCATGGGAAGATTTAAGGAACTTTTTCTTTCAAATAAAATTGTGCAAAAAGGCCCTTAAAAAGAAGCGAGTTGCTGTGTGCTTTGAAGAAGCTCTACCACTGGAAGCGAGTTCCCACACTATATATATATATATATATATATATATATATTTTTTTTTTTTTTAATATATTGAATATGGCCAAAACTGTAGCATGTCAAATATATGTCAATATATTTGGGAAGAATATTTTTAAAATATATTTCAAATATATTTTTCTTTCATATGGGTTTCTTGTTGCTAAATAGGGCTGAAGCATCTGATCGTTAAAATCCACCAACCCCCCATACAGATTATAATTCAGGCTTTTAGATGAGACCACATCTTCCATAAATTTCCCCTGTGTGTCATTGTGGATGGTGGACAGGATGTATACATCTCTCTTTTCCCTCCATTTCATGGCCAACACTTTGTCATTATTCAAACTCGTTAATTGCCCCCTTTGTAGCCTTGCAGTTATCTTTTTTTGGGTGGTACAACAGGCCAAGGTTTTCTGGAGGTACAGGTGACAGAAAAGGGGCAGACTTGTATAGAAATTATCCAGATAGATGTGACAACTCTTTTTGAATAGTGGAAATGCCAGGTCCCAGACAATTTTTCCACTTTTGACGTTGGGCACTCATTGGGCTAGAGCTGGAGATCATTGCCTTTGTACACATGAAATGCATACAAATACCCCGAGGCTCTTTCACAGAACTTGTAGGACTTTACTCTATACCTGGCCCTTTTACTGGGAATGCACTGCTTGATTCCCAGCTGGCCAGTGAAGTGGACAAGGGACTCATCTACACTGACGTTTTTGTCAAGGACATACAAGTCAGTGAATCTCTGGGGAAAAAAATGTTTTGGGCAAATTTTGTAGAGCTTATCATATCCAGGCTGATCTCTGGGAGGACACTGTGTGATATCACTGAAATGAAGGAAGAACGTGATCATTTCATAGCGTGACGTTGACATTACAGTTGAATAAATGGGCATGTGATGAAAGGGGTGGGTATACCAGTAAGTATGTGCTTCATTTTGCAAGCCAAGGTCAAGGTTAATTGTGAGGCCCAAAAATAATTTGGACTCTTCCACTGTGAGAAGTTTCCATTCAAATGGATGGGCATAGGATGAATTATGGTTATTTACAATATATTGTTGGACATAAAGATTGGTCTGGTCCAGAATCAACTGGAATTTGGTTTTCAGACAAAAAAAAACCCTAATTCTTGGTGTCTGATGGGATATCTCTGTACTAGTAACAGGCCTTTCATCTAGGGGTCAAGGGCCAATTCAGCATTGGAGTGTATGTGGCTACTGGTGGTTGCCTGGAGTTCAAAGCATCTTATCCTTTTTGGAGGGACTGTTTCTTCCTCCGATTCGGTCACAGATCCACAAGTTTCGATCGGTTCATACTCAGAATTGGAATTGGACAGTGAGAGCTTCTCGCTGCTCTAATCCGTCATACTGAGGATTTGAAAAGCCTCCTCACTAGTATAACTAGGGAAAGGTATACTGCTGATGGTGACTGTGTGACGGGTATACTGCTGATGGTGACTGTGTGACGGGTATACTGATGATGGTGACTGTGTGACGGGTATACTGATGATGGTGACTGTGTGACGGGTATACTGATGATGGTGACTGTGTGACGGGTATACTGATGATGGTGGCTGTGTGACGGGTATACTGATGATGGTGACTGTGTGACGGGTATACTGATGATGGTGGCTGTGTGACGGGCATACTGCTGATGGTGGCTGTGTGGCGGGTATACTGCTGATGATGACTGTGTGACAGGTATACTGATGATGGCGACTGTGTGACAGGTATACGGATGATGGTGGCTCTGATCACTCTCTGTGTGACAGGTACACTTGATGGGGCACTGAAGGGTCGCTGAATTTTTGGGTCCCCCTAAGCTCTGCACGGCCAGGCAACATGCATTTTCCACATGTTCTAGAGTCAGTAAAACAGTCCTTGAGTCCTTGTTTTTGTTGTTTTTAGTGAGGGTAACAACTTGGATGGGTTCTAGGGGTATATGAGATGCCCAAAGGAACTGTAAACTTAAAGGACACCTCAACACCTTCCCCCTCGACCCTATCCCCTCACAACTCCTACGACCTCCCTCCCCCTCCATCCTACGCTCCCTCACCCACATCTTTAATCTCTCCTCCGGCACTTTCCCCTCCCCTCTGAAACATGCACACATCACCCCCATACCTTAAAAGCCCTCCCTGGACCCCAATGACCCGAACAACCTCAGACCCATCTCCCTGCTCCCATTCACATCCAAACTCCTCGAGAGCCTAGTCTACACCCGCCTAAGCTCTCACCTCAATGACAACAACCTCCTCGATCCCCTACAGTCCGGCTTCCATCCCCTACACTCCACCGAAACTGCCTTACTCAAACTCTCCAACGACCTGCTAACCGCCAAAGCTAATGGCCACTATTCAGTGCTCCTACTCCTTGACCTCTCTGCGGCCTTCGACACAGTCGACCACCCCCTCCTCCTCAAAAAACTACACTCCCTCGGCCTCAGAGATTATGCTCTCTCCTGGCTCTCATCCTACCTGTCACAACGCTCTTTCAGCATTACCTATAATGCTACCACCTCCCCGTCACTCCCCCTCTCTGTTGGGGTCCCTCAAGGCTCTGTCCTCGGGCCCCTTCTCTTCTCCATCTACACCTCCTCCCTTGGCCAACTCATACACTCTCACGGCTTCAACTACCACCTCTATGCCGATGACACACAAATCTATCTCTCAACCCCCCACCTCACCCCCTCGGTCTCCGCCCGAATCACACACCTACTAAGCGACATATCAGACTGGATGTCGCTCCACTTCCTTAAACTGAACCTCTCCAAAACCGAGTTTCTTGTCTTCCCCCCAGCCCGCACACCACCCCCCATTGACTTCTCAGTCACATCCAACAACGCCACCATCAAACCCGCCCCGCAGGCCAGAGTACTTGGTGTCATTCTGGACTCCGACCTATCCTTCCAGCCCCAAGTCCAATCTTTAACTAACTCGTGCAGACTCCACCTCCTCAACATCACCAAAATACGCACGTTCCTAACCCCAGAAACCACTAAACAATCCCTCAATCCCCTCATGTTTTGCATTGTATTGGTATTGTTCTGTCACATGTTCTGTCCCCCTTTGTAATGTATGAGCGAACCATTGGCGCTTTATAAAATTCTGTATAATAAATAATAATAATAATAATAATTTACAAAAATGTACAAGATGTGGACCAAAATCAGCAACTCTCTCTTTAAAGAACACTGAGTCCCTTTTGGTGTAGCTCCTCAGACCCTAGTTAAACCTCTCCTCATCCATCCGGCTGTCCTGAGGGTATCCCTGGGCAAGGGATTCCAAGATCTACAGTGGGAACTAGTTGGGTATTGCACTTGACCGCCCTCTCCCTTCTTTGGCCCAGGGGGTGTAGAAGTATTCACACTTTTTTTCTGTAGCTTAATGGGTTGAAGATGCTTCCAGGCCTCACACTGGGCTGTCTCCTTCCCTGCTGACAGGTTGTCTTTTCTAGCAGACAGCAGGACAGTGGAGATTCTTATTTCCAGATTCAGCCTGTAGGTAGGCCCCCTGATACTGGGTCCCCCTTCCAGGCTACAAACACCATCACCTTAATTCACTCTTTGTTCCGCTCAACTCCCTTTCAGGCTTGCCCATATTTAAGGGCCTGTCTGACCACTATTGCCCAGCCTCCGACCAGGGGATTGGTCAGACTCCCTTAAATATGAAAATCTAAGCCTCCTCCCCTCCTCTGCCCCTCTTCTAGAAAGTGCCAGAAGTTTCTAGAAGGGTGAGAAGTCTCCAGAAGCCCTAACTTGTAGAGCCTCCCAGCCTCCCCCGAAGTACCCTTGCTGACTCACTCCCAGGCTGACTTAGCCCAGGCTTCTAACAAGCCTCTGACTCACAAACAAAAAATCATCTACCTGGAGGGCGCTACACCAGTTATCCATGAGGTTTACACAACACGTCACACAATATGTTATAAAAATGAGGAGGGGATGTTTTTTGTAGTTCTAAATCTTTTCTGACAGTGCTGCTCCCTCACAGATACAGTAATTATGTTACTTGCAGTATTACTTGCTGGATTCTCAAGTGAAAATAAAAGGGAAAAAGCATAAAAAAAAACAAACAAATGCAGCCATTACATCAGTAAGCTGTAATATATTGCATTGTTGCTTTATCTTTAATTTAATTAATTAGTAATTTTCTGCATGACAGTAAAAAAAATTTTCTGAGCAATTGCTTAAAAAAGATGAATTAGAGGATATGTCATCCAGAACGTGGTCTATAGGTATGAGATTAGAGGAGCAATAAAGCACAGTCATTGTACTGCACGGCCAGTAATAATCAGCGTATGAACATTTGGCTGAATATGGCTACCTACTGTAAATGTACATCATTATTAAAACGTCAAAATGTTATAACGATCATTTACATTACAATCCCGTCTGTCTGCAGCTGGATGTATGCTTCAGGAACTTTTGTGTCTCTTCCATTACAATTCATAGTTTGTATTTATCAATGGCTTTACCTTCTCAGTAAGATGGAGTTTCAATTCTTCTCATTGTTTTTTTTTGGCTTCCATTCAAAACAACCGAGCCTGCTGCGTCTGCTACTAAATCCATCCCTGTCCAAGGTTCCCTTAGGTAATGTCGGCTCGGCATATAATTATAGAGGGGAGACCGAAGCTTTTCTGTGATAATTAGCAGACTTGTAACATCAATTAATATGTAATATGATCCATGTGATTAGTGAT